ACTTTGGTTAGATTTCTATCAGCTTCCAGTATAACGTATCCCTCGTGCCTATTGTAGTTGTACTGTCAGGCAGGGGAGGGCTGGGGCAGTAGGTGACCCTTGTGTCTGGGCTGGGGTCTGCTGGCAGGGAGAGTAAAGGATTAGGTTTTCTATCTGCGCAGGAGTTAGGAGCTGTGGGTTTGACAGCAGAGTCTGGGGAATAGGTGGGGAAGATTTCCCCCGTATCACTTGTCTGTGGTAGTGCTACAGGTGAGACAGAGGCTGTTTCCTGGGACTCAGAGGTTTTTTGTTTTTTTTTTGCCTCTGGCATATAAAAGCTCCTCCTTATTCACAAGACTTTCTAGCGTAGGCAGTTTAAACTCTGAGCTTAATAGCCCATTTTTTTTCAAACCTTGATTTTGCTATATAGCCATGAAGCTCTGTATAGAAGGGATCTTGATTCACTTTCCTGCCCTTTCATGGAGCAAAAAAAATCAAGCTGAAATATATTATAGTTAAGAAATTAATTTTCTGATCATTTAATTTTTTTTTTTCCTGGAGAGTACTGTGAACAGGCTGTGATGCAAAAGAAAACGATTTGCTTTCGGGTAACTGGGAGTACCTGAATACCTTCCAGTGTTGGAGGGTATACCCCAGCAGGCTCCTTCAGATTCAATTGCATTTCCGACCCCCTCCTCCCACATACCCGACCCCCACCAGACTCCAGGTTCTCTGATTAGGGTTTATCTCCAACTACCTAGAGGAAATCTAACAAGGTTGGTGTTTATAATAATCTTACAATTCTTAGCTCAGATCTGGTTGGATGTACATTTGATTTGTAAGTTCAGCAACTGTATATGAATTCAAAGGTATATATTTTCTTAGTCTGTGAGCCAAATACCTGGGTATGTTCCAACCCATGTCAAAATGTCACAAAGCCTCATCCTGACTTCTTAGGCTATCCCTTTGCCTAACATTACTACTAAGCTACCTAGACCCCCAGGTCCCCTTAGATACCCTTCACAAGCCACAGATTTTTTTTTTACCTGTACTTCCCAGCATACCTTCATTGGGTTTGACTAATTTGCTCCAGTGGCTCACACAACTCAGGGGAGCTTTTAACACTTGTAGGTTTATTATAAAGGATATTACAAAGGATACAGATGAAGAGATGTATAGGGCAGGGTGTGGGAGAAGGGCATGGATATTTCGTGCCTTCTCGGGGTGCAACACCCTCTAGGAATTTCCACATACTTAGCTACCTGGATTTCTCTCCTTTTGAGTTTTTAGGGAGAATTTACTACATATTCAACTCTAATAGATTGGGTGGGAAAAACCAGCAAGCCTGTCTGTTCAGATTCTTCTCGACCTCTCTGCATAGCATTTCTTACTCCTGGGAATGAGACAGTATCCCTTCTGAAATGGGGGTCTTATCTACTATCAGACAAAGTAGACCAGAAAAAGGGAGGAAAGATAAACATTTCTAGAAGTGTCTATCGGAAAAAGAAATTTGAATCTCAATCACCTGCCTTGGGAGGGAGTTATGAGCAGGAACTGTGAACAAAACTATATATATATAATAAAATCAGATGTTGGGGCTGGGGTTGTGGCTCAGCAGTAGAGCGTTCACCTAGCCCGTATGAGGTGCTGGGTTCAATCCTCAGCACCACATAAAAATAAATAAATAAAATAAAGGTATTTAATTTTTTTTTTTTCTGGAGAGTATTGTGACCAGGCTGTGATGCAAAAGAAAATGATTTGTTTTCGGGTAACTGGGAGTACCTGAATACCTTCCAACTACAACTAAAAATAAAAATTAAAAAAAATTAATCTTCTAAAAAAATCAAATGCTATTTGTACCGCACATTCCTAGCTTAATCATTAACCTTGAGCAAGTGACAATGCTTCCTTTTCTTAAGGATTATGACAAGTCAGGGCATTTTGTCCTTCAGTCCTCTGAAGAACATACCCTTGATGAAAAACATCACCTTATTTTTTCTTTCAACATACATTATTGAGCATCAGCAAGGACTGGATTTGGGGAATAAGAAAGGTTAAAGACTATGTGTTAAGAAAACAACCCCATCACTCCTGGCAGTTATTCATTCAGTCAATCAATAAATGGTGCCCACTCTGAGTCAGACCTGTGCAAGTCTCTTGGCGTTGAACATTGACTCAGAAACGCCCCACTCTGGACTGAGGATATAGCTCAGTAGAGTGCTTGCCTCCCATGCACAAGGCTCTGGGTTCCTGTACCACAAAACAAAACAAAACAAACAAAAATCTCTTTGGTGGTATGGCAAAAATCATTTGACTTCCCTTTTCCGCCAAAACACTTTTCTTGGTAGAAAGTGCTATCTTAACTGGACTGGAATGCAAAGCTAGTTTATTTGGTCTTCCAAGAACACCTGTCAGAAAACTCAGTCACAACACCAGGATCTGCTAAACGGATCTGAGTACCATGCAGACCACTCGAAGTTTCTCCCACAGGAACAAGAAGACAGGAGCCCAACTGTGAAAGACAAGGTGTTTGACCTTATTAGTTATGGTGGCTCATGCCTGTAGCTTCAGCTACTCAGGCAGCTGAGGCAGGAGGATCCCAGGAGTTTGAGACCAGTCTGGGCAACTTAGTGAAGCACCATTTCTTAAAAAAAAAAGAAAAGAAAGAAAGAAAGAAAAAGAAAAGAACAGAGTTTGCCCTTTAACCTAGCAAGATTAATGTTAGAGGCAGGTGTTCTGGGCCCTGGGAGTAGCTGAAATTACCCAGGCAATTTTCCAATTACTTAAGAATTTGTCAGTTTGCCAAGGTGAGAGCCAGAAATGCCCACAGCCTTGCGGAAATGGAAGTCCATATGGTGATAACATTACTACCAGCTATAGGGATAAGGAAGCCACTGAGAGAGGCTACCTGTGGGCTGATCCCAGAGAGTGACTAACGGGATGTGCACAGACATGGCAGGTTTGGGGCTCCAAGGGTTTTGAGGCCCCTTTAGTCCTCAGAGCAGCAGCAGTGGACACCACCTGGCTCTGGGAGGGCAACTGGCTCTGTCATGGAGAACAGATGCAGAGTCCCTGTTCAGGCAGGAAAAGAACAACCTCACTTGACCTTCACCTTCTCTTCTTTTCTATTCTTCCCTGGAGCAGGAAGAGACTCAGCAACCACAGAACAATTGCCAATCACAGCACTACTTTGAGGAAGTTTAGGGTTGAATTAGCCCCTTCCCTACTTAGAAGTCACAAGAAGAGGTGATAGGGCAAAGAGCTTTTCTATTTTGACAGTGCTGAGCCAACACTGGTCCCTTCACTGACCACAAAAATCCAAATGAATCTTACAGTCTCTCACAGGTTGGGTCTTCCCTGGCAGTATTATTAGGAGTGTTGAATAATGAATAATGTTAGGGAAAGCGTTAGTAAGCAAGGAGGTCTTGCACCAACATTCTTTATTTAATGCACACGCATGGTCAGTACAACATTTTGCTGATTGGTCTTGTCAAAGAGAGAATAACATTCCTCTTTCAGTCCAGAACCGGGAAATTACTTATCTGCAACTGTGACTTCCAACTCCCTTCTAGCTGGATATCTTGTCTGCTGGCTAAAGAGAAATTCCCAAGGGATTCTGGAACTCACTGGCACCAAGGTTTAGATCATTCTGGGAATCTTTCTATTGCACTCATTTCAGACTTGGTTAACTTATTGATTGCCACTTTTATCTTTTAGCTACACTACCTTGTATTTTATATTTCATTATCTTACATCCTTTTTGGGACACTGGCAAGGTATAATTAAATATACACATGGGAGCATGGCAATGTTGCATACCACCATTGTGTCTACTTGAAAAACAATCCTGTTTTCCACTTAGCTGAGTCAGAGTAAAATACAGTACAGTTACAGTAGAGATGGCTTTTGGAACCCCCAACACTGAGCTGGCTTATGAAAAAGGTCCTGAAAATGCTCATTTATTTTTAATACATTTTATTTGTTTTACTTAGTTATACATGACAGTAGAATGCATTTTGATACATCATACATAAATGGAGTATAACTTCTCATTCATCTTGTTGTACACGATGTAGAGTTACACCGGCATGTAATCATATCTGCACCTAGGGTAATAATGTCCGATTCGTTCTACTATCATTCCTACCTCATGTCCCTTCCCCTCCCTTCACTCACCTTTGTCTAGTGCAAAATACCTCTATTCTTCACCCCTCCACCCCCGCTTATTCTAATTTCGTCCAAGATTCACCACTCACTCTTCCAGGCATATAGGAATTATGTGGCTGCACAGGTCCCTTTTAGAAGAATTACAACGCACTTCAGTTTTCCACTCCAGACAGCTTCCGTGGAGTGTAGGGCGAAGAGGGTGGAGGTAGGGCAAAGGACGAATTTGGGCTGTGGGCGAGGCTGAGAGATGGGTGGGCACACGGACCGAGCCTAGCCAGTAAGGACAGGTAGGCGCCGCAGGGCAGGGAAACTAGGAGTGCGCGCCGGAATTGTTTCTTTGTAAAGTGGAAAGGGAAACCCATTAACCCACAGAAAAGGATAACGAAGCCTCAGATAGATACGGGGTCAGGCAGAGTTGTCACCTGAGAAGTGAGGAAGCTGTATAGGCGCGGGCGTTAACCTCTGGGTGCGACGGGCTCCCGAAGCCTGGGGTGGACGCCTAGAAGCAACAAAAGAAGGAAGGTGACTTGTGGGAAGTGGGGACCGGACCGTGCTGCCTACCCAGTCTCACCCTGTTCCTCTCGATCCTGAGGTTTGGGAAATACTTGGAAAACACGCGGTCCCCAGCAGAGAGTCCCCGAACTTTCCACTCAGACCACTAAGCAGAGCGAAGGCGTCTTATTTTCTTAGCCCTGGGTCCGAGGGACAGAAAGCGCTCGGCTTGCGGGCTTCAGGGTCACCCAGATTCGGTTTGAATCCCACTTACTATCCGGTTATCCCACGTAGCCTCAATTCCCTCAAGTGAAAAATGGGGCTAACATTTGTACTCACCGGTTAGGGCTGTTGTAATGAATAACTGACAAGTGGACAAAGTTTTTAGGGCCCTGTCCACTACTTGTCTAGTAAATAGCAGAAACAAGGTCAGCGATCATCGTCATTACCTTATGGAGTTCTGTCGGGCGTGGGCCAGTGGCGGCTCTTTGTACCGGGAAGTCCAGTAGAACCAGTCCAAACAGGCACAAAGATGTTTCCACGAGCCAGGGAACAACCTGGGCGCACAGGAAGATCCAGGACCTGGGCGTGCACCGCCCCAAGCTCCAGCGGCTTCCCACACCTGCCGGGCCTCCGGAGAACCTGCTTGAGTCTGTACCAGCCCTGGGCGGTCGGTGGAGTAGCTGCCTCGCCTCACGATCTCGGCCATCGAAGAGCGGCGTGATTCGGGATGACTTTAAGCAAGTGAGTGTCCCCGAAGCAGAGAAAAGTGGGTGCACTGCGTCGGAAGGAGCAGATGTGGGCGCAGCAGGCGCCGCGCAGTCAGAGTGGGGAATTGGTGTTAAGTCCAATGCGTCTCGCGGGTAGGTGGCAGCCTCAGTAACAGGGGACCGCGCGTTTGGAAGCGGTTGCTGTCCAGGTTGGGTCCCCAACGCGGCGCCCGCAGGAACGGGGAACTGATTTTTCCGTGAGAAAATTCCATATGGAGGTAACCTCTCGTGGCCAGGAACGCTTTGTGGAGGAATTAGAGCATGGCATTCGGCCTTGGGGGCACTAGCTACCCGGCTCGCAGCCTGGAACCCACAAGCGTTGACCTGGCTGGGGCTTCTTTCCGGTGCCGAGGACCAAGTGGCCGGCCATCAGAGGGATACAGTCCCCGGGCGCGCGGGCTCTGGGCAGTCCAGGAGCTGGTTTTGTCCCTTCTGCAGCTTTTGAAAGCATCTTGCTCAGAGCCTGGGATTTTGAAAAATTGGTTTTCAGATCCAGGCGCACATCCACAAGACAGATTGAGAGTCTGCTCTGTATCCGAGCGCTAACACGGCTTTAAGAATTAGCATAATAATTAACGCAGAAAACTAGTCTTGGAAGTGTAAATTAGTTTTATAGACTGTGAAGAAGTCGTTTGCGGGTTTTTGTTTTTCCCCAAAGTATACTTTATTTATATTTCTCAAAATTCTAGAACAATCATTAAATACGACCAGGAAGTTAGCTTGTGAAAATGCAAAAAAAAAAAAAAAAAAAACCGCGTTCGTGAGGTGACATTTTACAAACATTAGAAAGAAGCACACGTTGAACACAGGATGTGGGGAATGAGGGAAGGAAGGCAGCGGTTGCATTTACTCATGTTCCTGGCTAACTTTCATTCCAACATTCCCCCAACATTTACTGCGTCCCATTCCTAAACAGGTGACTGAGGAGGAAGCTGGAACTCAATGCCCCAGGCTCCAAACTCAAACTGATGCCAACTAATCCTTTTTTAAACAATTGGAATCAGGCACAAAAATCTGCAGGAGAATGGCACAAAGGGCCTCTTTACCACTACATTCCCAGCTTATTTCTTTATTTTAAAGCTTTGGGACAGGGTCTCCCTAAGTTGCTAAGGCTAGTCTCAAATTTGTGATCCTCCTGCCTCAGCCTCCTGACTCGCTGGGATTACAAGCATGTGCAACAGATATAGACTCCTTCTTTCGTTGTTAGACAATTACCAATTAAAAATAAATTACAATACTGGGCCCATGGATAAGGCCTGTACTTCCAGTGGCTCTGGAGGCTGAGGCAGGAGGACTGGGAGTTCTAAGCCAGCCTCAGCATTTTAGTGAGGTCCTAAGCAATGCACTGAGAATTATCTCTAAATAAAATATATTTTTAAAAAAAGGTTGGGGGATGTGACTCAGTGGTTAAACACTGTGAGTTCAATCCTTGGTACCAAAAAACAAAAATAAAAACAAAAACAAAATCGAACCAAACCATGAAGTGCAGTGACACTTTCTCCTGTTATCTGAAGGTTTCCAGGATTCTCTGGTTCTATAAATCTAATGAAAGAGATTTAGCAATTAACCTCTTAACCATGTAGGTGTGTCTTCTCTTTAGAATTAGGAGAGGACATCAAAAGGATTAGAAATGGAAACAAATGAAGAAGAAGTCAAAATAACTTTGCTAAGGACAACTCCCAAATGATTGTTCATTGTTACTGGAAAGAGCCCCTGAAAAAGGAAGTTTTGTGCCTTTTATTGCCTAATCTTAAAAATGGCATATACTATGTGCATGTTGGTAACAAAGACTAAGGGCCACACAAAGGGGTGAATCCCTGGAGGCAGAGCTCACCTCCATATGGTGAGGCTGTAGCTCAGTGGTAAAGTGCTTGCCTTGTATATGTGAAGTACTGGGTTCAATCTTCAGCACCACATAAAAATAAATAAAGATACTGTGTGTT